TTTCCGACCACAACGCTATGAGACTAGGTATCAATTGCAGGAAAAATTCTGTAAAAAATACCAACACATGGAGGCTAAACAATACACTACTAAATAATCAAGAGATCACTGAAGAAATCAAAAAGGAAATTAAAAAATACCTAGAAACAAATGACAATGAAAACACGATGAGCTAAAACCTATGGGAAGCAGCAAAAGCAGTTCTAAGAGGGAAGTTTATAGCAATACAATCCTACCTCTAGAAACAAGAAACATCTCAAATAAACAACCTAACCTTACACCTAAAGCAATTAGAGAAAGAAGAACAAAAAAAACCCAAAAGTTAGCAGAAGGAAAGAAATCATAAAGACCAGATCAGAAATAAGTGAAAAAGAAATGAAGAAACAATAGCAAAGATCAGTAAAACTAAAAACTGGTTCTTTGAGAAGGTAAACAAAATTGACAGACCATTAGCCAGACTCATCAAGAAAAAAAGGGAGAAGACTCAAATCAATAGAATTAGAAATGAAAAAGGAGAGGTAACAGCTGACACTGCAGAAATACAAAGGATCATGAGAGATTACTACAAGCAACTGTATGCTAATAAAATGGACAGCCTGGAAGAAATGGACACATTCTAAGAAAAGCACAACCTTCCCAGACTGAACCAGGAAGAAATAGGAAATATACACAGACCAATCACAAGCACTGAAATTGAGACTGTGATTAAAAATCTCCCAACAAACAAAAGCCCAGGACCAGATGGCTTCACAGGTGAATTCTATCAAACATTTAGAGAAGAGCTAACACCTGTCCTCAAACTCTTCCAAAATATAGCAGAGGGAGGAACACTCTCAAACTCATTCTGTGAGGCCATCGTCACCCTGATACCAAAATCAAAGATGTCACAAGAAAGAAAACTACAGGCCAATGTCACTGATGAACATAGATCCAAAAATTCTCAACAAGATGCTAGCAAACAGAATCCAGTAGCACATGAAAAGGATCATACAGCATGATCAAGTGGGGTTTACCCCAGGAATGCAAGGGTTCTTCAATATATGCAAACTATCAATGTGATAAACCATATTAACAAATTGAAGGAGAAAAACCATACGATCCTCTCAATAGAGGCAGAAAAACCTTTGGACAAAATTCAACACCCATTTATGATAAAACCCTCCAGAAAGCAGGCATAGAGGGAACTTACCTCAACATAATAAAGGTCATATATGACAAATCCACAGCCAACATCATTGTCAATGGTGAAAAACTGAAACCATTTCCTCTAAGATCAGGAACAAGATAAGGTTGTCCACTCTCACCACTCTTATTCAACATAGTTTTGGAAGTTTTAGCCACAGCAATCAGAGAAGAAAAAGAAGTAAAAGGAATCCAACTTGGAAAAGAAGAAGTAAAGCTGACACTGTTCACAGATAACATGATACTATACATAGAGAATCCTAAAGATGCTACCAGAAAATTAGTAGAGCTAATCAATGAATTTGGTAGAGTAGCAGGCTACAAAATTAATGCACAGAAATCTCTTGCATTCCTATGCACTAATGATGAAAAATCTGAAGAGAAATTAAGGAAACACTCCCATTTACCACTGCAACAAAAAGAATAGAATACATAGGAGTACACCTACCTAAGGAGACAAAGACCTGCATGCAGAAAACTATAAGACACTGATGAAAGAAATTAAAGTTGATAGAAATAGATGGAGAGATACACCATGTTCTTGGATTGGAAGAATCACACTGTGAAAATGACTATACTACCCAACACAATCTACAGATTCAGTGCAATCCTTATCAAACTACCAATGGCATTTTTCACAGAACTAGAACGAATTTCACAATTTGTATGGAAACACAGAAGACCCTGAGTAGCCAAAGCAATCTTGAGAAAGAAAAACGGAGCTGGAAGAATCAAACTCCTGGACTTCAGACTATAATACAAAGCTACAGTAATCAAGACAGTATGGTACTGACACAAAAATAGAAATACAGATCAATGAAACAGTATAGGAAGCCCAGAGATAAACCCACACACATATGGTCACCTTATTTTTGATAAAGGAGGCAAGAATATACAATGGAGAAAAGACAGGCTCTTCAAGAAGTGGTGCTGGGAAAACCAGACAGGTACATGTAAAAGAATGAAATTAGAACACTCCCTAACACTATATACAAAAATAAACTCCAGATGGATCAAAGACCTAAATGTAAGGCCAGCCACTATAATACTGTTACAGGAAAACACAGGCAGAACACTCTATGACATAAATCACAGCAAGATCTTTTTGACCCACGTCCTAGAGAAATGAAAATAAAAACAAAAATAAACAAATGGGACCTAATGAAACTTAAAAGCTTTTGCACAGCAAAGGAAAGCATAAATATGATGAAAAGACAACCCTCAGAATGGGACAAAATATTTGCAAATGAAGCAACTGACAAAGGATTAATCTCCAAAATTTACAAGCAGCTCATGCAGCTCAATATCAAAAAAACAAACAACCCAATCCAAAAATGGGCAGAAGACCTAAATATACATTTCTCCCAAGAAGATATACAGATCGCCAACAAACACATGAAAGGATGCTCAGCATCATTAATCATTAGAGAAATGCAAATCAAAACTAAAATGAGGTATCACCTCACACCAGTCAGAATGGCCATCATCAAAAAATCTACAAACAATAAATGCTGGAGAGGTTGTGGAGAAAAGGGAACCCTGTTGCACTGTTGGTGGGAATGTAAATTGATACAGCCACTATGGAGAACAGTATGGAGGTTCCTTAAAAAACTAAAAATAGATCTACCATACGACCCAGCAATCCCACTACTGGGCATATATCCTGAGAAAACCATAATTCAAAAAGAGTCATGTACCACAATGTTCATTGCAGCACTGTTTACAATAGCAGGACGTGGAAGCAACCTAAGTGTCCATCGACAGATGAATGGATAAAGAAGATGTGGCACATATATACAATGGAATATTACTCAGCCATAAAAAGATACGAAATTGAATTATTTGTAGTGAGGTGGATGGACCTGGAGTCTGTCGTACAGAGTGAAGTAAGTCAGAACGAGAAAAATAAAATACCATAGGCTAACCCATATATATGGAATCTAAAAAAATAAATAAATAAACGTTCTGAAGAACGTATGGGCAGGACAGGAATAAAGATGCAGATGTAAGGAATGGACATGAGGACATGGGGAATGGGAAGGGTAAGCTGGGACGAAGTGAGAGAGTGGTATGGACATATGTACACTACCAAATGTAAAATAGGTAGTGGGAAGCAGCCGCATAGCACAGTGAGATCATCTCGGTGCTTTGTGACCACCTAGAGGGGTGGGCTAGGGAGGGTGGAAGGGAGGAGATATGGGGATATATGTATATGTATAGATGATTCACTTTGTTACAAAGCAGAAACTAACACAGCATCGTAAAGCAATTATACACCAATAAAGATGTTAAAAAAAAAAAAAAGGCCTGCTTAACCCAATATACTTTGATTCAAAAGGAGTTAACCTAATTTAATGAAACAAATATGAATATGTAGAGCTCCTACTATGAGCTAGGCACGTACCTGTCTGGGTATGTAGGCACAGCAAAAACTTGATAGTGAATAAGACCTACATAGAAATTTTATAATCTGTAAAGCAACTATACGTATCATCATAAGGTACCTATAAGAAGTGCCATAGTAAAGGTTTAAATAAAATACTTAGAGATTCAAAGGAAATATCCCAAGGTATACTGTTAGGTGGGATAATGGTAAGGTATGAAAATAGTCTGTATAATACTTTCCCACTTCAAAAAAAGTATTCATAGAAAAAGAATTTAGGGCAACATGTAACAATTTGGGAGGCTGAACATAATGGTATGAATGAGGGCTTTGGAGCCAGACAGACTGCATGGATTTGAATCCCAGCTTGCCCTCTTACTAAGGCTGGAAACTTGGTTGAGTGACTTAACCTTTCTTTGCTTTTACACCTCACCTGTAAAATGGACATAATTGCACTTACCTGTTAGGGTTATTGTGAGAGTTAAAAGGACAGCTCCTAGATAGCCTCAAATGTTACTTGTCTTAAACATATACAAAGGAAAGTTCACGTTGGTTTAGAGGGGTGAGTGAATACCTAGAGTGACTGTACTTGCAAAGTTCTAGGTTTTAGCCATGTGGATCAAACTTCTTAGCATCTAGCCAAGAGGTTATTCGTTATTTTCTTAGCTCGCTTTCTTCTGCTTCCTACTGCAGCTTTCTCACAATAGCTCCCATGATTGCAACAAGGGCAGACTGGGTCAAGGCAGGGGTGGGACACAACTCGGGCCCTGGTGACAGCGTGTCAGGTCTGGTTTCTGTGCTTGGTGTATGTGTGAGTGAGTGGGTGGTGGTCTGTTTTTTTGTAAGATACTTTTGTGCAGAAATTCACATATATCAGCATTAAACATCAAAAGAGGTCATTTTATTCCCCTATGGAGATGGTCCTCACGAGCAAGTCACATTTTATTCAGAGCAATGTAACATTTTCAGTCAGAATATGTTGATTTTCTGTAAAGTAGAAATTTATTTATTTTCTGTAAAGTGTAAAAATTTCTACCTGAATCTCCAAGCCCATCAGTTACTTGGGCTTGGAGATTTGGGTAGAAGAAACAGAAACGTGGATTTTGATCTTCCAGTTTCTAGTAGAAGTGTCTCAGATAACCCGTCCTGCTTTTTTCACTGATGTGGGGCTAGCTGTTTTTACTATTATTCTAACCTTTTAGTCTCTTAGCTCACTAATTCTGTCCTAGTAAATACAGATTTAGCACTTTATTTTTTATTACATCATTCATATAAAAATGCTTTTTAAATGTCTTCTTATTCAGTAAATAATTTAAATAAGTATATAAGCTTGTCAATTCATTATTTGGCCTTTAAAATGAATTAGTATTGAAATCAGGAAAATTGTATAGTCATTTATTAGACACATTGATTTCTTTTTTCTTATCTCTTGCAGGATTTCTGGTAGGTCCTATTTTAGGACGAGATGCAATATTGTTGAAACGCCAATCTGCTTTGGTTCAGGCAGTTGGCTTTTCAGCTGAGAAGCCATTTCTTCTTCCTCTTTTTAAAATTTTTTTGCTGACTTACTGAACTTATGAAACCATGGCGGAAGGAGAGACACAGTCACCTGGGCCCAAAAAGTGTGGTCCCTATATCTCATCTGTCACTAGCCGAACTGTGAACTTGATGATTCGAGGAGTAGTGCTGTTTTTTATTGGAGTATTTCTTGCATTAGTGTTAAATTTACTTCAGATTCAGAGAAATGTGACGCTCTTTCCACCTGATGTGATTGCAAGCATCTTTTCTTCAGCATGGTGGGTACCGCCATGCTGTGGCACAGCTTCAGGTACGTGAAGGCCATGTCTGTAACACTTAGAAAGGAATTAGGGTAAATGAGTGTCAATATTGTCTGGGCAATACTTTAAAAAAATTAGCTTTATTGAGGTGTAATTTAAATAGAGTGCAATAGACCTGTTTTAAATGAACAGTTTGATGAGTTTAGACAAATACATAGAAGTCATGTAACTACCACCACAATCCAGGTATAGAACATTTCTATTACCCCCTAAATTCTCCTGTGCCCTTTTGCAGCCTACCCCCAGCCTCAGGCTGTCACTGGATTATTTTTGCCTGTTCTAGAATGTGATATAAATGGAATCATAGAGTTTGTACTCTTTTGTGTCTGATTTCTATCTGACTGACCCATATGACTTTTAAAAATTCAATCCTGAAAACAATCTTGATTCTCTTAGGGATGAGGCTTTTAACCTCTTAATTTTGTTCTTTCCTCAATCCATCTCATATAAACTTACTTTAAGTTATTTTGTTGATCATCATCACTGTTTGGTTTTAAGGTTTTGACATGTATGTTATCCTCTGGTTTTTGAAGTAGATAAAAACTTGAAAGATGGAGACAGTCGACCCTTGAACAACATAAGGTGGAATTTATGTGTGGATGTTTTTCAATAAATACGTACTACACAGCCCGAGGTTGGTTGAATCTGTGGATGTGGAACTGTGGATACAGAGGGCTGACTGTAAAGTTATATTCAGATATTTGATTGTATGGAGGGTTGGTGCCCCTAACCCTCATGTTGTTCAAAGGTTGACTATAGTTTTATTCAAGTTTAAAGCTTCATGTTGTTATTTTTTACATTTTTGCATATGCTTTTTTTCTTGGCATCTTGTTTTTAGATATACATTCAGAATAATAGATTCTTAAAGAGATCAGTAAGGTAGATTCTCTTTGCTTAAACTCATTATTATCCTATTTAGATCTTGTTTTTGGTGGACAGTGTGTATTGGATAAAGTGGAGCATTTCAGAATGCTGTATTGATGATGCGCTTCCATGATGGATAGCTCTTCAGCTTTTTCTAATGAGACCAATAGACTGATACTATTTTATATAATAAAGTAATAGAAGGAAGCCATAATCACGTGGTAGAAGATAATTCTGATTGAGAGAGAAAAGCGCTTTTACGAATGTCCATTTGGTGTCTCACACCTAATATACATAACTACCTTGCAATATAATGTAGATCCTCCTTGATTTCCGTCCTAGAGCTAGAGGGCCAACAGTGAGGAGTTAGGTGTGAGACATTTTAAAATGACCTTGGGAAACTTACTGGACAATTACATAATCCCATTGTGTGGATTGAAGGGCATTTTGGTGGTAAGGTTTCAGCATGGTTTATATATTGATGTCTCACTATTACAACATTCCCATTAAAAGAGAACTTGTAAAGGTGATGATTCTTAGTTTCCCCAGATCTGTTGTTATTCTCTGAGAGAACAGGCAACATAGTCCAAACAGACAAAGCATAAATTACGTTTTATTATTCTCTGTTGTGTCTACCAGCCCTCATGTATTTTCCTTTCTTTCACTTAAGTTCAGAAGAAAAAAAGTTTTCCCAATGACTTTTTCTACTTCTTTGTTTATTTTCTCCTATGGTAGAGCTGCTGTCTCGCTACTAATAGAAGCTTTTCAGGACTTGGAAGAACATGTCTTTTCAGAATAGACAAAAGGAAGATCAAGGGAGGGAAATGATTGCTTATTGAATGTCTGCTGATGTTCTGGGCATATCCCTTAACCCCAGGGATCTGTAGGGCAACGTTGGGAGTGAGATGTTTGCATTGTGCCTATTTTGGGGGGTTGAGGAAACAGATAAGGAGAGGATATCAATGAGTCCAGGGTTCCAGAGCCAAGGAATGGCATGGCTAGGTGAAACATCACATGCTGGGGAAGGGGGCAGAGGGAGCCACTCATCCTTCCCTCTATTGGGTATCTCTTTTGAACCTTCCAGACTAAGTGCCAGGCTTGGATGGAGTGCAGTGGCCTGTGCTACACATTCTGGGCTAGGGCAGGAGAACTTGGCTGAGGTTTCATTCTACCTCTATTATGGAGAGGAACAGGGGTTACATCTCTGCCTGTGATATGGGCGCTTTTGCCACCAACTCACATTTAGGAAGGAAAACTTGTAATGTTAATGCTACATTTTAGTCACTTTGTCCCTACTTTCCTGCCTTCTCCCAGCCGCTAGGCTTGTCACACTTACAAACCTAACCTCATAGCATTCCATGTGGAGGATTTGCATTTACGTTTCTTGCTTAAGTGTTTCTTCTGAAAGCAGTGCATTCTATGAGGTGCCCAGCAAATGAAGGGAGAGAGGCCTTGGGGAATTGAGATTCCAGTTAACGCTGCTGTTGATGTTGGGTAGGTCATGGTGTTTAGTAGGTGGGGGGTGAGGATACCAGGTTTGTGGAAGTTGCCAAAGATGGAAAATGGACTCTTGTATAATCGCTGCCCCCTCCAATTTTAGGGAAAATATTAAAGAAAAAAAGTAAATGCTGTAAGAAACAGTGTGTACAGTTTGCGTGTGTATATGGTATGTATATGTTTTTGTGTATATGTGTTGTTGTGCATTTTCAAAGCTCTTATCATGTTAAATCAGAAAAACTGATAATTGTCCTTTGATTTTCCTGTCCAATTAATATCCGCAGACTGAGCAGCTACCTTCGGGAGGGTCTCCAGAATCACCACTTTCTACTTGTAAACCCAGTGCTGGAAAATTTGCTAGTGGTGCTTCTGGAGGGACAACTAGTAGAGAACTCTGATAAACTCCTTTTGATCCCATTTTCCTTTTCCTGGTTCTCTGTTTTTAGTTTAATAATGTTTGGTGTTTCAAGTTGGTTAACTTCTTTACGTGTGCAGTGCATTGGAATTGGAGTTAAGAACCTCTTGAATGTGATTGAGAGCTACAAAGGAATCTCTCTGAAGAATGAATAGGAGAAAAAAGATTGTGTGGATAAAATAACCGGAGAAGTTGACTAACAAATCACGAGTCAAATTAATATCTAATTTAAAAATGAAAACAAACAGATCTTTTCTGTTGAGTCATGCAGTCAGTCACCCAATTCCTGGAGAGTCTTAGAAGGCTCCTCCCTTTGTCTCTCACTGCCCACATCTGGTTTCCAAGTTTTACATCTCTCCCTTGTCTCTTTCTTGGTCTAGGCCCTCAACCGCTCTGCTTGGAATTTTCAGTCTTTTCTTTTTCTGCCTCTGATTTTGTCCCCCCTGCACCCCAAGTCCCTTCTCTCCTGTCCTGTGTTGTACACTCACTGCTGGAAGAACGATTGGCCCTCTCTCTGGCACAAGTGTGATGGTGTTATTTTCCCAGTGACTGTGGGGCAAGTCTCTGTGATATGGCCCCCGCCAACTTGTATCCTTCTCAGACTCTTTCTGGACCCGAAACTCCCTTTCCGCCTAAAGTTTCCAGTTTCCAGATGATACCAGGTATTTTCTGTTGTCTGTGCTTTTCCTCAAATGCTTTCCTTTGATTAGAAAGCCCTTTCCAGACCACTCACCTGCTGAACACTCCTGCCTCAAGGGTCACCTCTTCTATGAAGCTTTCCTGACACGCTCGCACCCTGCTTCCCCTCGGCACACAGCAGGAGAAGACTGGACCCCCGGGCCCTTCAGTGCTGCCCCTAACACGTTACTCTACTTAATTGTTTCTGTGGTCACTTTGGGACGGGGGTCATGTCTTACTCATTTTCCCTTTTTAAATCCCCAGTAAATACCAAGAACTCAACACATTATGGAGGTTTATGTATTTGTTGGATGAACACATTGCTTATCCTGTCGTAGTTTTCCATGGAAGTTTATCTCATTCAGTGGTTGTGCTTTTTTAGCCCCTTTTCCTTGAAAAATGTTTGATTTAACTGTTTCTCTTAGCGCAGCACTGCATTAAAAACATGACCATGAAAAATGATGACTTAATATTGACATTTTACAAACTTCTCTTGTTTTTGGTCTTGGTACCCTTCAACTAGTCACTGGGAAATAACTGAAATATATCCCAAGAAATGTGGTTTTTGCATCAGAGAACCATCTGATTAAGCAGGAGTGTGTTTGCATATGATTTTACACAGGCATGATTTTAACAGTCTCTGTTGTTAAAATAAGAAAGTGGAGGAAGAGGACAAGAAGGCCAGACACACTTCTGCTGAGCTCTGAACAGTGCAGCCTCACTGTGCTGTAGATGTTGCTCTCAGACTCTGCCAGGCCTTTATTTAAAGGAAAGAAAGAAGACGTTTAATGCGAAGTGACAAGCTCCCTCGAATTCTCCCTCTCAGTGAGCGTCCAAGAACCATGCATACTCAATGGATTTGATTTTTATTGGCAAATCCCAAGGTTGGCAGCGTGGCAGTTTAAATTTCTTTTTGTGTTTTTGCTTTCTCTCCTCAGTTGTCTCTCATGTGTGAGTCTGACATCACATGCATAAAAATACAGTCAATTTTACTGATTTATACCTTTGCACACACGTCAGTACGCTCTGTGTGATAATTCTTTACCTATGGCATCAGCTGCTGAGGAAAATTGACTTGGAATATCTGATCTTAGTTGATTTCCTCAGCAACAGGCAAAGGGAAGAAAGAGAGAGAGAGAGAGAGAGAGAGAGTGAGGGATGACACATGAGCTGCCAGTTTCATGACCCCTTGAGAACAAAAAAGAGGTAATATTCATTTAGATATATTTCAACTGTTAGGCATGCTTGTTGCCACTTTAATTTTGTAGAAATTTGGAAATGCTGTCAGTTAATCTCACAGGATTTTAGAGCAGAACCTTTTAAATAGGAATATAATTTGAAACTTTTAAATTTACTGGTAGCTGTTGGAGCTCTGCGTTGCTGAAGTGTGTTGTTAATGTCTTGATGGTCTGTGAACCATCTATCCTCAGCAAAAGCCTAATCAGAAGAGCACTTTCAGTTTTGCGGGTTAGAAAATGTCTGCATCATTGCAACATCTCCACTCCAGATGAAAGGGTGACGGTGCAGCCTGGTTTTCATGCTGTTCCATTGGTCTGCTAGCCTCTGATGTTTGATATTAATTGATTTCTGTTTTTCCTTTAAGATTGAATGCATTGTTTGTGAGATAGAGCTAGCCAGTACCAGGCCAGGCAGGGGCTTCTAACCCCTCAGGCGTAGGTTTGGGTGCAATAATTTCATGATACATCATAGGTAATACTGGACATTTTAAACATACTTTTGAACTGATGTGACAGTTGTGTTTTTATTACCAAATGGCAGCATAAACATTCTGTTTTTAGGAAGATGAGCAAATTAAAGCTGCCCAGCTATTTCCTGTTAAATTTAATCTGTAGAAGTATATTTTCCTTAAAACTTGTTGAAGAATGTTTTGGTTCATGAAATACTCTTTTTTTAATGACTAACTTAGCATTTAAAATCTTCTCCCAGTGAATGAATAAAATGTTGAGGTTTGTCAAGTATTTAAGTTAAAAATTGAGTTATTCATACTAATTAATTGCACCATTAGTATTCAAAATGTTCTTTCCAAAATGCAGAAATATACCAGAAAGGTTTTTTCTGATCTTTTAACAGTGGATTTAAATTTTAACTGAAAACATATAATTCTGTAGACCATGTTTCCTCCATCTGTCCTCTGCAGAATGAGTCTTACAAGTAGATTTCTGTTGCAAGTTTCCCTGCTTTGACAGTCTGACCTAGAGTCTCATTAGAGGGCCAGGTTGGAAGGGAGTTGTCCGGACAAGGCACTAGACACAAGAGACTGAGTGAGACAAGAAGCTGGGGGGACAAGAATTGTATGTGTGGCAGGACAGCTATAGCCATCTAATACAACGTATATGCTGAGCTTGTACGTGTTTACACTTCGAGATTCTCTTTACATTTGTGACATTTCATAGCATGCTTCATGGTTATATAGCTTAGAGAGAACATTGCTTAACTGCCAACTGCTTTGATGCTTTCCAAGTCTCGGAGATATTAGTAGTAGAAAAGTAGCATGAATCATCTAGTCCAATCTGCTAAATTCTGAATCATACGCTGAAGTAGTGTTTTGCCTATTATAATTGAGAGTACTGTTGTACTCATTTACAATGCTGTCTTCGATGTGTTATCCTCACTTTTTTTTTCTTTTGGAAGGTAAGTTTAAAATATCAACGATTAATGTTAAGTAAGTTGAAAAGCTTTTCTAGAGAATCTTTCAAATGCTTATGGTGGTTGTTGTGACTCTTAGCTTAAGTTTTGCCTGTATACCATTGGAGATGACTTAATTTTTTCCCTTTTTTTCCCCACAGCTGTGATTGGGTTATTATACCCCTGCATTGACAGGCATCTAGGAGAACCACATAAATTTAAAAGAGAGTGGTCCAGTGTAATGCGGTGTGTAGCCGTCTTTGTTGGTATAAATCATGCCAGCGCTGTATCCTTCCTGCTGTAATGAAATGCGTAATAACAAAGCAGCTTTTGACAAACCAAAGGTTAAACAGTCCCTCGCAACTCCACTGTTGTCAAATTGTGATATGCCCACTTAGTCATAAAAAGAATGCACGCCGCATTGTTGAAGCATCATGGGAGCACCTGGGCAATTACAGTGTGGGGTATAGCCTTTCATTTCAATCCCTATTTTTCGATATCACTCAGAACTTTGCACATTTAAAAAATTTACATGGTTTTCTTAAATTAGGTTACTTGATTACCTCCATCTAGTTTTGGTAACTAGCATTGAAACAGATACATTTTCAAAGGAATTTCTTTTCTCTCTTCATTTAAGATTTGTCAGTAAGGACATCTGGTGGCTTCAGGTGCTGGTTGGTTTTTTGTTCTGTTTTGTTTTTAATTTGAAGAATATATATATATATATGTATATATATATTTTAAAGACTGTTATTTATTGGTTTTAATCAACACCAACAAACCACATAAATATTCTTAAAAGTGGCAGAGGCAGAAATAGCCAACTTAGACTGTGGCCCAAAAGAACTTTTTTTCCTAAGTTACATATTTTTAAAGTTTGATCATTTTGAGGATTTTGATATTTTAATTTAGTGATTAATTTTTCATAGTGTCCTGGCTAGAAGGATAAGGTAGCCTCTATGTCCCACCTCTCCTCTGCTTCTACCCCCCCCAGAAAAAAATGTCCACCCCCAGAACAAAAGTTTTTGCCTTCATAAGGATTTTATCCTGTCATCCTCCCTACTTCCTCCCTGCCCCGCTGACCTCCCAACTTCCCTTTGTAGAAGAGGGTCTGGGAAATGCTAGTTCAGTCTTCCCTTTTCTGGAAGAGATGGCTTAGAGGATGGAGGTGGCAGGAGCCTTCTCTTTGGGGAAGAGAAGATGTGTGACTCAGGCTGACCAAGGTTTCCTCCTGTAACTCTGCGCTGGGCTCAGGGCTGGCAGTTAGCTGGAGAGAGTGTGGGTCACGGGGCAAGGAGATTCCAGCGTCTCTAACAGCATGTATTGAGGTGTTTTGGAGAAGCTGGAGAAGAGGAACCAAGGAAAGAAGCAGGGTCCTAGATTCTGAAAGCACGTCTACCTTTCTGTTCCCAGTCACGCTGGCTCTTGGAGATCTGTGAATTTGGAAGTCCCTCAGTGGCTCTTATTATTTTGTTTTTTACCCTTTTGTCTTAAAGAGTTTCCCAACATGTTTAGTTTGGTGAAATCTTTGAGAATTAGGATTTTATAACAAACAAATCTAGTGGTTAGGAGGACTTTAAAAAGGTAGACTCGTACAATATTATATCTAGAAGAAAACTTAGAAATCCCCTAGTTCCACACTTTCTTTATAAAGATAATAAGAGAAATGAAAGCTAGAGAGGTTTCGTACTTTGCTAAATCATACATACTGCAAGGTCTGCTCCAGAGCTGAGGCCAGACCCTGGAGATCCTGACTCGAGTCTAGGAACATTCCTTCTCCTACCGAGGAGCCCCACAAGTGTGTAAATTCGTCTGTCTGGTGGATTAGACCTTTCTATCCTAGACAGTTCAGGTATTTTTAAGTTGAGTAATTTAGATAACCTTTTCTGGAATTAAAAAGACTTACATATCTAATTTAAATTCTTTACTTTGGTCATTCTTTTCTTCCTCTCAATGAAATCCTTAAATATAGTCATCTTAGCTATTCTGTTCATCCTTTAAGCAGAATCCAAAATGTTTACAAAATATATAACACAGACTTAATATTAGGTTACTTAGACTTTAGAAAATCACATTGTACTATTTTTAAGATTGATGTTTTACCTGTACCCTAGAAGCCTCCTTATTTTGCTTTGACTCTTAGCAAAGTTAATTTAGTCAGCAAAGATAGAACCCAATTAATGTCAAATTCCAGTCTTTACAAGAATGTTTATTGCATAGAGAAATCAGAGTGCACAAGTGTTTCTTTGGAATTTGAGGTATAATACTCACTAAAGAATAAAAGCTTTTTCAGAAAGCATGCCATAGACTATAGGTCTCTTGATAAATCAAGCCTAAACAAGGACTGACCAAGAATGGCAGTCTGGGCGTTCAGGATACCCGCTGGTTGGGTAGGAGGGGGGAATGGTGGTAAACAGCAGGGTGTTAAAGGAAGTGGAAGATGGTTTTATATGTATTTTTGGAACTTCCCCTCTCTTCTCTGTAGTTGCAGCATGGCCAGTTTGGCAAGATATATAGTATCCTCTGGGGAGCTGGATATAGAGCCAAGATGTGGCCTTTGGGACATAGATAATGCTCTTTTAATGACACTTGAAATTAATTCCTTTAGTGTAATCCTCTAGCAAAGAAATGAGAAAATTGAATTTATAAAGCTTCGTTTTACCCAGAGATTTTGAAGTAGAAAAGGGCTGTACATTTGTGAATAGGTGCTTAAGTAGGTGATGGAAATAAAACATCATTTGAGCAAACTGTCCTATACCAGAAAGTCTCAGGCACCAAAATAGCTTGGCAGGTTGCAAGATAATGTTCACTTCAGGGCTTTATCCTCAACAAATTAAAACTAGAACAGTTGACATAATAGAAAGGGATAGTGTGTCCTTGGTACTCTTGTTTCTGGACTGCATTATTATAAAATGTGTCTGTCAGTAAATCACATAGAGAATGTGGTACCCTGTTAAATAGCTGTCAACTCTTCTATTTGCAAGTTCCTGTATGATTCTCAAGTAATTCTAAGCCTGTTTGAGAAGTAATATCGGTTTCCTTTTTGGCAAAAGTGTGTTCCTTTAGCAATACTTGTGTTTCGAGGCTTCTAGTTACATTTTTTTGCAAGGAAAGCATTTCTTAAATAATGGATCTGATCTGATAATTGGCAATGTATATACTGTGCCATTTTTTTGGAGAGATTAACACGTCAGTGAGATCTATTAATGAAGTATCATGCCCTCTGTGCGTCTTTAGTACATATCGGAGATAGCTTTAAGCCTCCCTAGTCTTGTACACTGTATTAAAAACCCGAATGCACTCTAGACTATGCAGTCTATTCCCTTCTCAACATTAACATCTTTTATTTTAGCAAAATGAACAGGTGATATTATTTGGTTACAAATTTAAAGATGACTCTTTAACACTGATCTCAGAAAGTGGATTTTGATAACAACATACAGTTGTCTCTCACACTGGCTGCACTATCCATTGGACTGTGGTGGACTTTTGATAGATCTAGAAGTGGTTTTGGCCTTGGAATAGGAATTGCTTTCTTGGCAACTTTGGTCACTCAACTGCTAGTCTATAATGGTGTTTATCAGTAAGTATTCTTTTTGGTGCTTGTTTCCTAAAGTCTCAGAATTGAGATTTTAAAATTTCATTAGCCAGTTTAATCTACAGAGTAACTTATTTTGTAACTTATTTCCATTGTAATTATCTTAATAAGTGTCATTGTACTTCCTTTGTGAGTTGTTAAAAATCTTTCTATTATTCTAGATATACATCTCCAGATTTTCTCTATGTTCGCTCTTGGTTACCATGTATATTTTTTGCTGGAGGCATAACAATGGGAAACATTGGTCGACAACTGGCAATGGTAAGCTCATGCTCATTTACTTACCTTTCTGTTATTGAGATGTAAGACAAGTTTTCTCCATACAGCAATAGAATAAGTCATTTGGAAGAATTTAATCACAAGTGTATTAAAAATGGAAAGAACCACTGGATAGAAAAGCTAAAATGTGTTATGGATAGGGTGATACGATCTATCCTCCAATTTTTATTAATTAATTTATTTATTTTATTAATCTATACGTTTCTACTCCATGAAAAAGGGACAGTTTTAAAAGTGAGAAGAAGCGCTGCTTATAACTATGTTGCTACAATAAATATAAATTAGGACTATCTCCAGCAAATCAAGATGTTTGATCATTTTAGTTAAGAAGGAAAAGGACATTGTTGATAAGCCCAGTCAGAGAGGGCAAAGGTCAGGGACTGGCATTCAGATGCCACAGCGGTTTCATGAATAGGTGCTGTCACTTTTACCATTTTAGCCAGCTGAGAGAATTGAGTGGTTTACATTGCTGTCTTTTTGGTAGTCTAGCCACCCAGTTATCCTAAATCCATTGGTTTACTTTATTTTGAATTATGGGTAGACATTTTAATAGCTGTCCTTTCAAAATATCATTTTGACCAGAAGCTTTTGCTAATATAGTAGATTTTTTTCTTTCAATTTTAAAGTTATTTGAAAAAATATTATCTGAATTCACAATATTAGTCCTGTCCTTAAGTTCATGACCTTTCCTTTGCTAATATGCCTTAGTGAGCACACAAAGAAATTTATTTTGCTTCCTTTCATGTTCTAGGATTGATCTAAATCATATACTGTTATCATTTGCTTGTAATGTAGAAATATCATTTTTTCCCTGCTTTTGGCTATGCCCCTTTCAGTTCTAGAATGCGAATTTCTTTTTTCCTTTCATAATTGTCATTTAATCCTAATAGTTGTATAACTCTCAGATTCTTTGAGGAATAAAGTGGGCATATGTTAATAAACTATTAAGTTTAGACTTTTTAGTTTATATGGAAATTGCTATTCAAAATAAACATTAATCTTTTAACCTTTTAACCTTTTAATTTTTACAGTATGAATGTAAAGTTATCGCAGAAAAGTCTCATCAAGAATGAAGAAGGCAAAAACATATCTTTTGTACAGAAAAACAAGACGAAAGGGCATGTAAATGATAGCTATACCAACAATACTTCGGACTATAAAATTGCCAGGATGCAGTTTTTCCCTTAATTGGTGTGTGTATACATATACACACATATACACACATACATATGTTACTGCAATCTGTGATTGCTTCATCTGTAAATCAAGTACAAACCTTTATGTATTTGACTTAAATAACTGTAAAATATATATGCACTACATTAAAAAACATGTTGATTAATAGATGAAATTTTTAATTTTTTAGACATACCATATATTGTATCACAATGTTGATGTGCCAGAATATTCAGTTATCGTCATGCAGAGTATAAGAATGCTTTGAACAATTTATAGACTTACTGAAATAAAATATGAGGAAAGCCAAAAAAAAAAAAAAGCAAATGGAAAGTGGTATATTCTCTTTTGCTTACTGTTGTGCCTTTTTATTTTTCTAATATATAGCAGTACGAGTTATGGGTGCCCTAATGTGTGGTTAGTTTCTGTTTTAATGTTGTCTCAGAGAGCTTTGGGTGTTTTAATATATGATGAAAAAGAACTTCCAGGGAACATTTTCATACCTGCATTACTGGAGAGAGTCCAAAGAGTAATTTTTGTTTCAACAGATTTTGCTGGAGGTGAAAGTGATCAGCAGGAGAGTTTATCAGCATCAAATTGTTTTGAGTCTAAATCTGGAAGAATACATATAATTAAAAGTAAGGACCATTGAAAAATTTAACTAGAGTAAATATGTTTTACAAATACAAAATGACCTTCTGGAGTGCCACAAAGTGTTAAGTGATATTAACTGTCATTTGCAGTACAGTATTACACTGCTTTTGCGCATGGAACACATAAGAATTCCTGAACAGGTCAAAATGAAGTTTCTAGTTGTCTTGGGTTCTGTAATCTGTTGGGTTCTGTAAAGAGAACCATTTGAGCTGGGCTGCTTCATATGATTGATTGTCAGTGGATTGCATCCGAGGAGTGGATGGGCACATAATTTCTTATGTATCCATGCGCCGCCCATTAATGAACAGTTCAAGAATGTGGTGTTTTAGAATGTATTGGGATGGCATGTTGTGCATGGTAAGGATCCTGGTAACAGTTTTGTGCAAATTTTTCCAACAACTGGAGCCTTTTGAGTATGATTTAAACATAGTCTTAGTTAACCTTTTCCCCCAGTTTTTATTTTTGAAATTGATGGCAATTGTCTGATACACAAGGGTGAAATCTGCTTACTCTGGAGGGGTGTGTATGTGTGTGTGTGTAGGACTGAGTGAGGGAGAGAGAGAGAGAGAGAGAGAGAGTGTGTGTGTGTGTGTGTGTGTGTGTGTGTGTGTGCATGTGCTCATGCTCTCTTAATATGTCAACTAGATATTTTTCCAGTTTTGATTTTAAAACCATTTCTGTCAGACTGAGATCTTGTATGCCAAACTTTAATCTGCTCTTATGTTTTAAGGCTGAAAGTGTGAAAATCCTAAGAGGATTTCCTATTGAATATATGTACACAATCTTAACTATAGTGGTGGTAAAGATACTACTGTAATTTATTATTCTATCTTCCAGATAATGTTATTCATTTAGAACAAATAAGGTATATTTTTAGAATCAACTTTGTAAGCACTATAATTCTTTAATAAGTTATAAGGTCTATGATGTGTTTACTTTGAAATTTGCTGTTTAAAGCAAGATGTATTAAATATATAATTATCATCTTGGTTAAGAGTCTTTTTTCCATCCTTGTGGTTAATCTTAGAATTATATTACTGAGGATTAATTTACTAAACTTAACATGGGTGGTTGAATTAATTCAGAAATAATGAAGGAAACTAAGTTTAGTGTTACAGGAATTGAATGATTTTCACTTTGAGTTCTTAAATTATTTATATATCACCTAGAAAACAAGAAAATATATTTCTGACAAAAATAAAATTGTTTTGATATTTTGATAAGTGTATAAATATATTACATCTTTTTTTTTTTTGCAGTGAAAGTGGTAAACATCTTTTAATACTGCTATATTGGCAGTGCTTCCTGGCTTTTATTATTTAAAGTTTTAAAAATTGAATAGTTGAAAACTGAAACTTAAATTCTATGAAAGCACAGGCAAATAATTAAAATTAGCTAGCAAGAACCCTGGTAATACTTTTGTTATAATCTTCATTTGTTTGCACTGAACTGTTTTACCTTCATTAAGGTCTTTGGAACCTCTCAGTGGTGCCTCTGCTTCACACATCTGTTTTCTAGGTGGAATCCAGACTTGGTCAATATCATTAAATACTTCTCTAATCTTTCGGCTCACTTACCTGCATAATGACATATATTCTTTGAAAGGTAATTCTTCCAGTGATGGTCTGTGAATGGTAGAGTCTTTGCTTTGTGGGTCTGAAAAAGTCTGTTTCATTCTTGAAGAAAAATTTAGCAGGCTATAGAATTCTAGGTTCACAGTTTCCCCCTAATCCCAGCACTTTGAAGATTTTTTTAACTTGTTGTCTTCTGTCATCTAATGTTGCAGACAACAAGTCTGCTATTAGTGGAATTTTCTTTCCTTTGTAGATAATCTGTTTTTTTCTCTCCAGGAGCTTTTTCATGATTTTCCCTTCATCTTCGAGGTTAGTTTCACTTTTACTTGTTTGGTTTTAAAATTTGTTTTTATTTTTCTTGCTTAGTATTCAGTATGCACTTTCAGTCTGTGGGCTCATGTCTGGAAAATTTTAAAATCTGGCTGCATATTGGAGTCCTGTGGAGTCTTGTAAAAATATGCTGATGCCTAGATCCCACTCCCAGAGACTCTAATATAATTGACCTGAGGTGTGCTCTGAGCATTAGGAGTTGCATAAGTTCCCCAGGTGATTCTAATGTGCAGCCCAGGTTGACTCTCACAGGTGTAGATACATGTAATATAAGGTGGAGGGTCCAGGTGAGAGAGATGTAATGACTTTGAAATGAAGAGTGAGGGATGCACTGAGATACATTTTGGATTAAATCATCTGAACTTGGTGACTTGGGTATAAAGGTCGAGGAAGAGGAAATGTGAAAGGTGACTTAATTTTTCTCCCTTGGAAAACTAAGTGGATGGTATTTCTGTAAACCGAAAAAGGAATGCAGAGAAGTAGGTGAATGGAAGTTTGATTTGATATGTTGAGGCTGAGGGATGTAGGAGGCCTCTGGTAAAGATGAGTATAAGCAGTGGGATATTTGAGCCTGGGTTATTGGGTGTAATGAGGGAGTCATCAGCATATGACACTAATAAATACAGCTGTGGGAGTAGATGAGGTCACCTAGGGAGCATGGTATAGTGAAAAGGAAGAGATCTGAGGCACACTGGCCTGTTGGCAGAGAAGCTGGTGAAGGAGATAAAGGGGGTATAGTCAGAAGTAGGAGGAAAAACAAGAGAGTGATGTGGAAGCCAAAATAGGGGGTTTCAGGCAGAGGGTAACTGGTAGAATGAAGTACAGTTGGAGGGAATAATTGACTTTAGAAGTACAGGTGATGATATCTGATTGTTTTATGTTGAAACATTTTTTCTCTAACCTATTTTATCTTAACATTTAAAGTATATCATTGCATACAACATATATTTGAGAAAAGCCTGATCATGTACTGTCATTTATTACTAGTAAGGGGAGTTGGGGACAGCTAGAGAACTTTGAAAGAATAGTGGAGATTGGGGCCGTATCTTTGAAGAATGGACCCAGGAACTGACTAGAGGTGAATAAAGAATCTTCAGAGAGTTTTGAGACCATCCAGGACCCAGGTGAGGCTGGAGACCAGATATTTGCAGTGGAGTCAGTTAACGTGGCGGTGCCATGTTTAAATGGGCTCCGTAGCCCAGGGCCTAGGCCGTTTGTGATGGAGCAGATTGAGTCTAGTGGGGAGTTCGCTGGTAGACATGGCACAAGCCTTTGTGGAAAATTAAAGGAGGCTCCTAGTGCAAGGCCAAGAGATTTATCGTGGGATCCAGGCAAATCGGGGAAGGAAGTTGAATCAGCAGTGCTAACCTGACTGCATGGGAGAACGGTGTGAGGTGAAAGGACAGCACTCTAAGGAGGCCAAAACCCTGTTTGATGGGAAGGGTGATCGGCTTGGGGTTTGTAGTCAGAGAGGGATTTAATGGCTCACTTCCAGGTCTCAAGGTCCAGGGTATGATCTGAACACCTGTGTTTCCATGGTTTACAGAAGTGGCTGGAGATCTGAGGCCTGGGTGACCAGCTGTTAGTACCAGTATGGATGGTACTAGAATGGTCGCAGAGACTGGGTGGAAAGGAAGGTCTCCTCTGTGGGCTCATGACCATTAGAGTGAAACACTTATCCAGATGCCTTGATTGTACTGGAATTCTAAATAGAGTCCCTTCCCCCCTTTTATGTAATTATTTTGAGTTGTTTCATCATCCTAGGTGCTTTAAAAATTCACACGATGTTTAGGAGTGTGTCTTCTACTAGTCCTGTTCAATCAGAGACATCATCTCTTTAATCCTGGGCAATTTTTTTTTTCTGTGTTTGCTGTTATTATTCCTTTGTTCACCTTCTCTGTTCTTCTGAAATTCCTCTATTTGGGAGATCTTTGACCTTTTGTTCCTGTTTTCTATATATCCCTTAGCTTTCCTCTGTTGTGCTACATTCTAGAAGAATTACTTAACTGGATCTTCCAGCTAAACGAGTTGCTCTTCAGCTGTACCCATTCAGCATTCATCCCATCCGTTGAACTTTTAATTTCAGTGATGACAATTTCAATTTCCAGGATCCCTCTTTTTGTGTGTGTGTATGTGTGGCAGTGTGTGGTCATTCTTGTATTTCCTGAGGATATTAATTAATCTTCTAAAGTTCTAAACTCTTCTAAAGATCCATGGCAGGGAAGGGCAGGATGAGCCTGCACCAGCCTGTCTCTGGATGTGAGCACTCCTTGGTCTGCCTTGGGCACACTCCCAGGCCTCTCTGAACTTAGTGCTCACACCGCTTGCATCTGGGGGCAGATACTGTGCTGTCTGTCTCTGCCCGGTCCAAAGCAGCGAGTAGAAGTATGGAGGGGTTGGCTAGATGGCTGCTTCTGCAGGAGCCTGCTCTAACGCATGAGGTCTGTTGCCCTTGGTATTTCTGGCTCCAAGCATTAGCCACCTATGAGCTTTGAATGTCCCTAGTTTCATTTTTAGCAAATCCTTTCCTTGAGTGAGCTGTGTTTTCTTTCCACCTATCTGCTCTCAATTGTTTTCTTGCTTTCAGGGCTTCCTTGTAGTGGTAAAGACATGGAGGAGACTTCTCCTTATCTGGCAGTATACTTGTAGATTCCTTTACCTTTTAAAAATCTTTTGTTGTTTCTGTGGATGTGGGATAGGAGGGAAAAGCTACAGCTTGACTAGTCTGCCTCCCTGATTCAATCTTCCCCACAATTTTTTATACTGTAAAATCTTGCCATTTGCCTGATCATTTGTCTTCACATTTCAAAAATTCAATTTAGTTGGGCGCTGAGATAAATAGGTTAAGTCAGTGGTTTCCTGCTTGGTCTCAATAAAAATTGGGGTATGGAGATTTTTTTTTTGCCTTCGAAATACATTTAGTTCATTGAGATCATTGTGCCAGGAAGTGTAAATATCCTTGTATCTGTTCCTTTATGCCTCCCTTCTTTTTATCACTGATGAAATCTGTGAAACCTGTCATCCTTCTCTGTGATTTACAAGACAGACTTTTCCAGGGTATGTCAACTGTTCTGAAGAAAATGTTAAGGATCAGATTTGGCAGATCAGATAGATAATGATGTGCCTGTGAAAGACTGGGCTATTGATGAGCCTCGTGTCAACACTGATTGCCATATGTGGGCAATTTTTCCCTTGCACCGTTGCTCTGGCTGAGGTGTTTGTAAGGATTTTCATGAGCAAGGGACGGTTTTGATTCTAAATCAAAATTCTGTGCTGGCACAACTGTGTTTTATTCTGCTTGGTCATGGCAGGATTTGTAACTGCTGATAGTTCTGTGGCTTCTCCAAAGGTGGGCTTTAAAAGAAATGAGCACTTAGGAAACGTATTTCCATTTAAAATAATCTTTTTTTTATTACTGTTCTGAAACTAATAAATTCACTCAGTACTACTGTGTTTCCACGAGTTTGTTCAGTTCGTGAGATTTTGTCTCTCTTAGAAACATGTTTTGAGTAACTTGTACAGAATGTGATCGTGGACCAATTCATTGTGATGAGCAATTGAGTGGACGAAAGAAAGAACCCAACTGCTGAATCTGATTGTTTTAGAAGAAAAGTTTCTAAAATGCATTCCCTGGGAATTTCTGCCATTGAATGAAAGTCATTTCTATTTCCTTTATAGTCATCACATGGCACTCCTAGATCTTCTGGGAATGTCTGCTCAACCAAGTTATGACGGTGACAGTTCTGTCTTGAAACAGTTCCTTCTGCCTTCACAAAAGCTTGAAATTTTGCAGCAGGACATTACAGGAGGACAGACTGCTGCCCCATCATCTTAGGATCAGCTGGAGGAAGGCTGCTGTGCTTGGTCTCCACACACTGGACTTGGGAAGCCTGCACACTGACAAACTGAAGATGAAGTTTAAAGATGTTTGTAAAGACAAATCTTTGCGGAATTTTCTATGCCTCAGACCTAGTGTGGGTTGATATCATGCCTGTCCAAGAGAGAAGGCGGGTCAGGATATGTTGAAGCAAGTCTTCTAGAATATATGTAAAATTCATAATAAAGTTGAGTCAGATTCAA